TTTGGTATTTTTAGTAGAAATGGGTTTCACCATGTTGATCAGGCTGTTCTTGAACTCCTGACCTTAGGTGATCCACCTGCCTCGGCCTTCCAAACTGCTGAGATTACAGGTGTGAGCCACCGAGCCTGTTTCAAAGAAAATATTTTCGAGGGATTGCTCTTTTAAAAAACTATTCTAATTTTTCTTTGCCTTCAAGTGAGAAGTATACATATCTACATAATAATTTTGAAACCCTTATGAAGACATTCTCATCAAGAAACAAAGCTCACATTAACATGCAGAATTTTCATGTCTCATACTGTGGTTTGGTCAGAAGCTCTCTATGGCTATTGGTCATAGCATATGAGATAACAAAGTAGTGTTTCCTATAATGTTTTACTACACAGTGAAGCAAAGCTGATAGTTTCACATGGAGTACTACACGTTAAGCAGTGGACCAACATAAGAGATCAATAATAACCTAATATTCAAATATTCTGTTATTTTTTTTAAATGTTGATGGTAAATGTTTTAATTAAAAATACTTTTTTGTGATTAAAAACGATACTTGTAGACATTTTGTAAAATAAAGATAAGTAAAAGAATAAAATGAAAATCACTCATAATCACCAAGGTATTGTATTTTCTTATATTTAACTGTCCGCCTATCTATCTACCTACTTACTGATTTAAATTACTATCTTACATTTATTTTTTATACAACTGAGATAATAAGAAATAAGACTTGATGTCCGACAGATCAGTAAGGTGACTACAGTTAGCCTTAATTGATTGTGCAATTCAGAAAACCTAAGAGAATTAATTTAAATGTTCCTACCATAAAGAAAATATACATATTTAAGGTGACAGATATCCCAATTACTCTGATTATATGAATATATCAAATTATCACACATACCCTAAAAATATGTGCCTCTAATACATATCAATAAAAAATATAGAATAATATTATAAACAGGCATTCCTTTTTTATTTATCATGACATCACATACATTTTCTCATGCAATTAAAACTACTATTTAAAATAGCCTAATGAAAAGAAAAAAGAAAAAAATTTTAAAAACATAAACAGCCTCACGATAATCTATCATATTACTATACCATACTTTTGTAACTATACCCTTACTGTTATATATTTAGATTTTCTTTCTTACTTTTGTTTCAAGGACTACTGCTGTGTTGAATATCTCTGTACATGAATCTTTGCCTGAGATTGTAATGTTCTGGCCTTTTCCAGAATTCCACAGGGCCTGGTTTTCAGGGTTGGAATGGGAGGCTTAATAATGTCCACAGTATGTTAAGGGCTCTCAGTTGTTTATGCAAGGCCAGGGGACTTAAAATAGCCTTCCTGCCACAGGGTGATGAAGTTGAACCAGGTCCGCGTTAGCTGGTAAAGTGCATCCAGTTATAGATGACCCTGACCACACACAACAGCCAGGTCTATTTTAAGCCATATTGCTAAGTGGAACAGGTGGTTAATAGAATATGCTAGAGGTGTTATCTCCTTGGATTTGATAAATCAAAGAGATAGGATCAAAGATGACTATCCCAGCAAACTGAATACTTTGAAGTCACTCTCCCAACAACTAAGTGGCCATTTCTTTAGCGGGAAACAAGTATCAAATAACTAAAATTTGTTTATTCTGTCTTATAGGACAAAATGCATACTTCAAGGCACACCATGGTCTACAATCAAATGCCTGGCCAATGGCTATTGAAAAGGAAGGCATCAGCTGAGTGTGGTGGCTCACACCTATAATCCCAACACTTTGGGAGGCTGAGGCAGGCAGACTGCTTGACTGCAAGAGTTTGAGACCAGCCTGGGCAACATGGTGAAACCCTGTCTCTACCAAAAAATACATTTACATATATAAATTAGCTGGGCATGGTGTTGTGTACCTGTAATCCCAGCTACTCATGAGGCACAGGTGGGAGGAGTGCTTGAGCCCAGGTGGTTGATGCTGCAGTGAGCCATGACTGCACCACTGCACTCCAGCCTGGGCAACAAAGTGAGACTGTCTCAGACAAACAAA